TGTAGTGGTCAACAGCTGGGGACGGACACCAGACTCAGAATAGCAAGCAGCATGTGAAGCCTAGACCACCGGGCGCAGTCAGGGGGGCGAGACATGACACGTGGTGGAACAGTGAGACGTGCACAGCCAAAGAATGAAGAACCACAGCATTGGAACTGGAACTACTCAAAATATTCATCTTCATTTAATATCATATATTCATTGCCTTGTAGTCCTTTGAATGTTTTAAGAAAAGATTCAGTTTTTCTTATTTTGAGTAGTTTCAACTTCTTTTTAATCTTTTCAAATTACAACATCAAAACAGCAAATAAAAAGGGTCAAACTGTCACATCCAAGAAGTTGTTTTAAAAAAATTGTTTTATTCAAATCTGTCCTGTTTACATTTGCCTGATCCTCAAGCACAGCACCTGGGTAGAACTTCAGAGTTGTGTGAAGGATTCCAACCACTTTCTTTTCTAATAACTAGTATTTTTTCTCAGTTGATGAACGGTTAAATGTGCTATATACCACCTGCTTCTATTCACAGAGACGTGTTTTACTTTTTGTGAAATGTTGTTTTGTAACTGTGGCATTAAAGTGAGCCATTATGTATTCATAAAATTGCATGTTCATTTTTGTAGGGGTTAAAAATACTTTGAATAACATCCATTACTGTTGGGACCAGAGAGCTCATTTCACCACAGATCTGACCTATATATCTCCATGGAGATAATGCCATGGGCCATCATACAAAGCAATAGCCTCTCCAAATTCAAGTAACATCGAAAACAAACTTACATTTATTTTTAACCAACGCTTGTACTATTTCCAGCAAAAATAAAAAAGAGACATACAATATCTAAGATTAGAGGGTTTTGTGCCATAAAAACTACAACTTAAATCATGATAAAGACAAGAAATTTTTGCTGTTTGGTTCTTTATATTGATCTGACGACATCTGACCCCATTAGTGTCCCAGGTGTCCAGAGCCTACAGTTATTCTCAGATAGAAACATTTGTCACATTAGAAATGGCCTCTCACACCTAATAGAACAGAAAAAAACAATAATAGCAGTCTGGGGAAACTACTGTTGCTATTTTCAAAGATTTCAAGGTCTGGGGGCTAATGATGTCACGCTGGACAAAAGGTGGTCTTAAAGTTTATGGTTAAGTGTTTCATATGACTTCACACACGCTAAAGACACGCACACACGCTAAGGCATGGAAAATGAATGGGTCCAATCCAAAAGCGAATGTCATTTGTACGCGAATATCATATCTATGAAAAAGATTGAAAGAGGAAGTAACATGCTTCTGCTCGCTATTTAATCTGTATCAGTCTTAATCTGTGGCCCTGTACAGACAAAGACAAAATGGTGCCAGGCCGAATGCCAGCGTTGTGAGGCTGCGACAGGAAACACCAAATCAGACAACAAAACGCGCAGCACTTCGCCCACCATTTGATAACAATATGCAGATTCACCGGCTCCGTGTGAGCTGAATTAGACAAAATACTTTTGCGAACATGACTGAAATCATCTTTGTCTAACAAGGCCTCAGACACTCATTCCTATATTTAGTATATTTGAAATCCCAGTATTTCTCAAAAAAAAGAAAAATGTCCGTGCACTACCGTATTCTTTGTTACGTTCTACCGTAGGCCTGTCACGATAACAAATTTTGCTGGACAATTAATTGTCTCAAATATTATCGCAATAATATTGTCATTCTGAGATAATTTTAATCTAATACAATGATGATGATGCAGGTACAGCTTTTCAAACAGAAATAAACTTAGATTTTTTAAAGACCACCGCCAGAAGTGGCATGAGTAGCGGGCGGGCTTTGATGCTAACGGAGCTAAGCTAGCGGCTTTTTATATAAAGTTCTTCGCCAAGAATGCAGCTCTGCAGCCTCTCTTTGTCCAGAGACCTTCCAGAGACTTTAAATAACAGCAGTGTATGTTCACGGAGGTGCGCCATAAGTTTATTTTTTTATTAAACGGTACTTCCGCATCGGCAAACACGCTAACGCTAGCTGCGCTAGTTTAGTCACTACTAGAGCCTGAACTCAGGCTGGCATATGTTCACAACTACTGTGTCCCCCATTGTCAATTCTGGTTAAGTCCTGGTTTAGGTCCTGTTTTGGCTGTTTTTTGTATTTTTGAGTTATTTCAGTCTGCTCGCTAGACCGCTAATGTTCCCGTGACCATTTTGAGGCTCTCTGACCCGAGAGAGAGAGGGCGAGAGAGAGACGGCGAAAACAAACAAGCATGCAAATGGAATTCATCGCGGCCAAAACAATTATTGAACTAATTGGAATTATCATGCGATTGATGATTTATTGAATATTGCGACAGGCCTAGCTCTACGCTCTAACTTTTGATGTAACTTCAGCTGAAAGAGTCACATCAAAGGCTTTGCTTAGTAGATTTTTTCACTTCAGTCAAAAATACCAGTGCAATGCTGTTGAATCATCATGTATCACAGATTCATAAAAGAAAAGCTAACAAAGTAAGGAGGTGGAGAGGTTCCTCAAGCGGATGAACTGGAGAAAGCATGCACAAAGAGGGAAGTCTACCTCTGCGTCCTAGCTGATCATTAAAGTAAAGAATTGAACAGATGGAGTGACAGTGGTCAAAAGGGAGAAATTACTTCTCAATTTCAAGAAAATATGAATGACAGTACTTAATTATGTCTTTAAAGCAAACAGCCATGAAAGAGACTTATACAACTTACTATCGTACTAAAATACTATCATATAGCAAACATGTTTTTAAATGACCAACATTTCCAGAATATAATCTAATTTATGACCATAACCATTGAACGATAAGTCAATAAAGTAATCGTCAAGACAGACCTGCCTTGAACAAAGGATCTCTCTCCTTTTCAATATCTAACAAGAGAATTTTCATCTTAGATACAGAACATTCCCTGACTTTTATTTGCAAGTCTTATAATCACATTCAAGATTTTAACAACAACCTCTGGGAGATGCCGATCAAAATTAACACTTTTGCGGCTTGAAAATCATTGGGAATTCAGAATAGTAATAGAACAAACGAGCAAATTACCGAATTTTACTGCCTGAGTTTGATGATCGAAGAAGACAATTCTGACATTTACACGGTTGGAAACATCCACTAAAGCCAGAGGAGAAATAGAGGAAGTTAATCTGCAACTCATTTTCATTAAGGCTTTGATCGTAGAAGCTTTGAGGGGGGAGATTTTTGTTAGTAAAATGAACAAAATTATAAGTGAATGAAGCACGAATGGGAGACACCGTGCTGTATCCAAAGTCACAAATAGTAAGTGTCTTTTGGTTTAGTTCACTGCAGAAAAATCTTTCACAAAATGATATTGTATGAAATAATCTGTTCATTGAAACAACCTTAAAGAAATTAATTTCTCTTTGTCAACAGTTTAATTTTAAAGTAATATTAATCTGGATTTGAGAATATTTTTACCTCTAAACGAGACATAACATGTCAAAGAATGGTTATGTGGACAAAAGCAGATGCTTGACTTGGATGTTTTTGACGCTGTTATTCATTTTTGTTTCATAATGGTATGACATTTGATGAATTTTATTTGTTTATAGTCTCTAACCCTCAATATGAAACCAAACTGACTAATGGGACGCCATGTTTAGGTCCTTTCTCGCATCTGACATCTCTATTTTGGTAAAGCAAAAGAAGCCAATGGACACTTACATATGAGCAATATACAATGGCATTTACGGCCGTGCACTGTCTTACAAAGCCGTTAACAGCTTGGCTATGTCTACACATACATATTTACATTCATGAAAATGGATCTGCCCCTATTAGATTACCCTATAAAATCAGACACAACTTCTTTAGGGCAGCAATAATAACCTCAGGTAGGAACTTTAAAGCAATGTCGTATGCTGTGTAGTAGTGCAAGTGTTAAATGGGTTATGCGTGGGGGAGATTATCAATAATCAATGGAAGAAATCATTGAAGGCTTTCCCACTAGACAGGGTAAAAGAACTGCTCTGAGCTGGTCATATCCATTTCGTTCTCATCCATCCCCCTTTTTACGTGCTTTCATCCTTGCAATTTTTTTACCCATTTTTCACAACAAACCAGCGGGCTTCTCTCTACCTCAATTATCTAAGTGAGGGCTTGATCTGTCTGGTGGAACTCCGCTATCTGCTGGAGTTGTACCAAAAAACAAGATTAAAAAAAGAGATAAAATGGGCAGAACTGTTTGAAACTATTTTTTTTTTAATGTCTCACAGGAGCAAACTGTCTGGGAGTAACACAATTAGGAGAGACATTCAAATGCTATTGTTCATCAACTCTGGACAGTATTACTGAATGAATATCAATTTATCAATAACGCAGGGCTTGAGGCATGAACTGTGCCTCCTAATTCACACGTAATGTCTATCAATGCCTCTTGACTTGAGCAAACGATCATGAATTAGCAGTGGGTTTCAGAATGCGGCAGTGCATATTGGATTTCTGGTCACAATCAAGTCTTTTTTAATTCTCAATAATCTGCTTGAGTCTTCCATAATTGAGATGTCCAAAGTGCAAAAAATAGTGTAGGCAGAGATGCAGATATCCCAAACCCAAAGTGTGTTATATCAATTATTTAACTATTTTTAAAATAACCTAATATATAAATCCAACAAAAGCAAACAAGTCGTTCTAAGCTTCTAACTTTTTTTTACATATTTTTGACTTGACTGGATAATTTCCAAAGGCACAAAACAACAAAACTACACTATAAAGAAAAACAGAATTTGAGTTATTTTAAACAATATAGAAATAAAAAATGTCTGTGTGGGGATACTGTTGCTGTAACAAGAATGTACGGCATTCAACTAATCTTCATAGAAAATAAGGCCACGAATGTATAATGTGATAAATATCTGTTGTTTTCATATCTGAATGAAATAAAGCCTTTTTGTTCCACTTCTCCTCAGTCTTCTGTCTTCTAATGTCTGGCCTGATAAACTGCTGTTCTTTTCCGATCACACTCCCCCACTCACACGCCCACGGAAGGAGCTCCACAGAGGAAGCACTGGGACATCAACAAAGCAGATGCAAGACACTTCACACTTCTCTGGATGTCCTGGTTTGTCACGGTCTGTTCTGGTTCGAGTCCTGGTAAGGATGGCCCTGATTCAAATATGATAATGGAACCAAAAATAACATGGTATGCAAATGTCACCATGCTTAACAAAGGAATTACTTTCTTTGTTGTGCTCTGTTTAACTGGGCAGAGATTTGACACAGTAATTCTGAGGGCTGCCCGTTGTTTAGTCGATAAAGGTGACTTGAATTGTATTTCGATATATAACAATGATTTATACAGTAGTTTTTTGGACATTCGAAGATGCTTCATATGTCATTCTTCATTCACTCCATATGCAGTGGTGATAAACTACAAGTGTAGCCACAGCTGCTCTGGTGCAGACTGACAGAAGTGAGGCAACCAGTATGTGGCCCCTGCGACCACCACCAACCATTCACGCACACAGCAGACTCGTTCTAGACAATGTGGGAGAAGTGAAGAATGCACATTTTTGACCATACGGACCTGTCATATCATCTAAGTATTTTTCATAATAAATGTCTTTAAAACAGTCAGTTTCTTTGGAATAAACATCTCCAGTAAGATTTGCTGGAGGAGAAAAGTCAGACCAACGGTGATGAGCCTCAGCTGTCTATCAAGGAGTTAAATTCATTGCATCCAATCAGAAACCTGTGGGGGCGGGTCTAACTGGTTCTTACGTTTCTCAATCATCACAATTTTAATTATATGGACATATGCACATTGAAAAACAGTCAAAAGAATGGGATTATTTAAGACGTTTCAAATTTGTATTCATAGATTCATTATTATCGAGTGCTTAAGATTTTTGAGCATAGAGTTGAACTTCAATAGGCAGTTCAGTTATGTAACCAAAAGAGTTGACATATTTTGGCAATCAAGAATTTTTGTTTGACGACAGCCCTAATAATTCTGGGAAGTGAATAGATCTTTAAGAAATAATGATATTGCTCCATCATACCACAAATAATAAAAGATCCTTTTCACCAAGTGCAATAAGGGAGCTGTGTCAATAACGTCAGAGACCATAGTCACAATATTTCTACTGTGGCTTTTAATAACACAGAACATGTGGGCAGTATATACAAAAATATAGTATTGTAATTGCTGTTTTTAGATATGCACATTTTTAATATAATTTAATATGATTGCAAAACATCCAGTAATATATTATACACAGATAAAATCTTTTGAAGTTTTTAAGTTTAAGCATATCTTGAACATCAACTAGTATTGTTAAATGACTAATTGCAACGAATCAATTATTGAAATAATAGTCCGTATTAATGGATTAATCGTTGTTTGAACCTTGCATAGACTTTAACATGCTGAGAAGAGTTTCTAGGGCAATTGCAAACTGTTCAATTATGTTTTCAGTATCCTCACAATAGTTATACCATAACATTACATCTCCCAGTAATTGTTCAGTCCAAGTTTAGTTTCAATTTGATGAGTTGTGCGAGTGTGTGTTTGTGTGTGTATATGTGAGAACAGGCAGCCAGATGAATAGTGTCAAGCTGGAAAGAATTCATTAAAAACAGTGCTTCTAAAACCATTTTTTAAAGTATTTCGTTTTGAGAGAAAGAGTGCGAACTACAAAGGGAAAAGGGAGCCACAGCTTTTTAACTAATAGGCTACCTGTTACAATCCTACACTGTGTAGAACCGCAGCACATTATTAGTGAAGCGTATACAAGTAACATAAGTGGTAAGTAATGTTTCCAGTCTATTAGCTAAAGAAAAGCAATCCTGCGCTAGGAGTAGGAGTAGGGATGTAAATCGGCGACCGTTTAACCGGTGGTTGACCGTCACAGCGTTAACCGGTCAAAGCTGTCGGTTAAAAAAAGAGAAAAAGGGGAGAGGGGAGGTCTCTTAATAACGCTATTTTAAGCCCTATTTGCACGGTGTGACGAGCGGGTCTGTATCTAGCTGTGTGCGCCCATGTATTATAAACTCCGGGACGACTCTCACGCCGCACGAGCCACATATGCACACACGCACGCGCGCGCGCGCACACACACACACACACACACACACACACACACACACACTCACACACACTTTCCCCCTCTCCATACGTAACATCCACACGCATCATCTCTCCCCTCTGTTACCGCCAAAGTTGCACACTGGCGCGGGTCAGAACTACATTGGAGCTTACATTTACACACACACACATATACATACACACATACATACACACACACATACACACACACATACCGGTCTGTCGCGCTCCTCTGTGTCACGGAGCCCAAAGGATTCGCGCAAATACGCGGCTGCAGTCAAACCACATGGAACATGTTTGTGTTTATGGTCCTCGGGATCAGCTCCACACACATCACTTGTATTTAAACTTTTGTGAAGACCTGTGAGACGCGGCAGGTCACTCGCTGCTCTGACCATGTGAACGAGCCGTCGTTTTCTGCTAGAAAGTTTTGGTATTAACCCGCAGCACAGCAGAATGTGAAGATTAAAAAGGCAAAGGTGCCGGAGCTGTTGCGGGTTTTGGCGCCGCTGTCTCGGCTCTGATCCCGTAGAACGCTCAGCTGCACTTATGAAAAGTACGCGGCTCGAAATGGCTGTTATTTCAAAGAACGTGGACTATTTTAAACTACGCGGTTAACCGGTTTCAACCGGTTAATGAGGCTCGGTGGTCGGTCATGAAAATTCATAGTTTTTTACATCCCTAAGTAGGAGCGAGAAAATATACCAATCCATACAGAACTGTAAACTCCTATCCATCAACAGATACAGGTTTGTGCGCACATTTCTATTCTTGATCAAACAGTCCCATAATAGCAAAAAAGATCAGGATTCCTTTTCTAACAAAAAAAATGGAAAAAGGCAAGACCTCTAGCACCGCCTTTGGCAAGAATCACATCTTATGAACACCTTTTTGTCTGCAGCCAATAGTCTTTTAATTCTAGTTTTGGGTATTTCTGCCCATTCTTCCCTTCAAAAGCCTTCCACTGAGAGATTTGTGGGCTGTCCACCTCAAAATAGCACAGCTAGGTTAATCCACAGTTTTTCAATCATGTTTAAGTCTGGAGACAATGAGGTCATAGCAAAACCTTCAACTTGTGCCTCTTGATGTAATCGATAATGGATTTCTAGGTGTTTTGTTAAAACTAAGAAGCATATTCATCAAAAGTGTCTGCACGTTCACGTCTGCATAAGTGATTAGCAGCCCTTATCATCGGAGAAAAGTAATGTGCACGAACAGATAAAACGTAATCACAAAAACTAGCTACTCTAATTTTCTCCCACTGTTTAGCACCTGGAATCTGGATTGATAAATATAACCTTACGACAATAATCAGTTCTGTGGAGAGGATGTTTTTGCCAGCAATTATGATTCTATTGTGATCAACAGCACACCACTAACTCAACACAATTCCTCTTGCCTTCTTCGCACAACTTAATCTGACCTTATCCTAATTAGGCTTATTAAATCCATCACATCTTAAAAAATGTGATTTCAATTTGCCGCCCTCGAGTTACCACAAGTTTTTAGACCCCATAAATATGTAAATATAAAGATACACACACACGCACACGCACACCAAAACAAACAGACAGTTGCAGCCAGTGGACGATATAGCTTATTACACTGCTCATTACACAGACAAATGAGATCCTGGCCTCCCACTGATAATCTGGCCCCTCGTCCTCTGAATTATTTCATTACATAACCCAGAAGTACAAACTGACATGGCCGGTCGTTTACAAGATACAACTCTCACCAACCAAAAACTGCCTGTAGTCACATGGTCCCACCAAATGATACTACTATACTAAAGCGAGACGAATGCAGAATTACACCCATGAAATGTTAGTGCCATATAAAACAATACGGACTGGCCTCATGCTGGGACTCTGAGGATCACAGGGACTGGCCTTGCGCTGGGACTTTGAGGAGCACAGGGAGCAGTCTCCTGCTGGTGCTCAGTCAGGACTAAACATGGGAATCTATGCAGCTAAAATTTAGAACAGTCTTCCTGAAAATGAGACAACCGCCTACTCTGACCAGGTTCAAATCCAGGTTAAAGCTAGTTCTGTTTAGCTGTGCTTTTTTCATGTACTGTTTTTATAGCTGTTTTATTATTATTTATGAAGGATTATAATGTTTACTTTCTTGTTATGTAAAGCATTTTAAGTTGCCTTGAGTATGAATGGTTAAAAAAATAATAAAAATAAACTTGACTTGTCAATTAACTTGACCAGAAAGATGCTTAGATTCTACATTAGTAAAAATATAGACATAAATAACAATATCAAATATGCCATCTTGAAGTGGTAAAGTGGTTAAATGTATATTTTTAATGTTCTACACAAAGATATAAGGTGATATTTTTGTACATTTGTGTTTGCTTTTACAGTTCATTCATTTTGGGGTAATATCACACTTCTGTTGGATTGCAAAAATAAAATAAAATTTGGTCATTGGCCTAAAAAGGAGGAGAACTTTTTATTGTTGTTACATTTCATCTTGTAACTGGTTATTTCTATGTTAGGTTAATTATCTTGCCCTTGGGTTGTTCTGTCCTCTTGCAACAGATCAGAAAATTACATATTAAAAAAAGGTGTCCAGAGATCTCTTACTAACTTGCTTTGTCCATTCTTGTTTTCCGTTGTGTCCCATATAAAACCTTATACATAAAATAGTAAAATACTAAACAGCCCTATATCAAATATTAGAGTGGCACTGGTCATTCAAACAACACCTGGTAAAGTGTAAATAAATCTGCTCAAGCTGAATTTATAAGCACAATGCATCCAAATTCTTGGCATCTTAGCTGAACACTGCATAGTTATAGTGTACATTGTACACGGATTATACATTTGTTACACCGTATGCACATGTAAACGTATACTACATTTGATTAGATCTGCTATAAGACACCTATTCCCCTGCCCGCTAATGTCCATATTCAGACACAGCTACAGGAAGTCATTGTTAAATGTAATCAAAGAAGCAGCATTGAGTCAGCTACAACAGTTAAGACATGGCAGCAGGAGGCTTTTTCATTGCAAACATGTAGAGAGGAAACTAAAGGGTTTACTTCAAACCCTCGGAGTGCCATTATGTGTGCTCACTACATTATAAGGATATTTAGGAGAGTGAAAGACAGATTAGTGCAAAGATGGTAACTGTGAAGAGAGCCTCTAACTACCCCACCCCGCCTCCTTACCTTTGTGTACACGCCCCACGACAGCTCCGTCTCTATCACCATGACGACTATACCAAACATCCCAAAGATCAGGGCATAGTCACTGAGCCTCTTCCTCTTCTCAAACAGTGCTCTGCGGTGACCCAGTTTGTAGCCAATGTTTTGGTTTTTGCGTTTTGAAGCCTTGGAGGTGCTACCCCTGGTCCCAGTGCCCACAGTGCCAATCCCCCCCTGCCTGCTGCCCCGTCCGGGCTGAGCACGCCTGCTCTCCACCAGCGCATTGTTCTGGTGGTATATGGACATCTGATTGGACATGGAATCTGTGTCATAGCCAGCTCTGAGGTATGGAGAGTCTTCTTTGGATGAAATTACAATCTCTGGTGGGCTCTGTAGAGGGGGCTGATGGGTAGAGGACTGTCCCACAGTAGATGAGTGAGGAGTGTCCCTCTGTCTGTCTTGTGCTGCTGCTCCTGCCACAGCTAAAACCCCGCCCTCTTTAGTCTCACTGCTGCTGTCTGACTCGATCAGGTTCCTGCGTGATGCGCTGAGGCGGCTCAGCGGCTTCATCACTCCCCCCGTGTACTTACACGAGCTCATGGCAATCTCTGTGAAGGGGTTACTGTCCCGGCGGTGAACCAGGGGACTGGCCTGTCTGTGTTTGGAGCCTCTTTCTCTGTCCCTGTCCCGCTCTCGGTCCATGGATGGGGAGTGGGAGGAGTAGTACAGGGCGTTATACACAGGTGAGTTGTCACCGCTCAGGCTGTGCTGTGAGCCCAGGCAGGAGGACAGTGGGGTGCTGGTGGGGTGCAGGGCATTGGGGATGGGTGGGGGCAGAGGCTGAGCTCCAGAGGAGGACAGGGGGAGCTTGGGGAGCGATGTAGGGGGTAAGCTGGGTGTGGCTGGTGACGGGGACGGGGTGCTGCCATTCAGGCGGTCGAGACTTGAACCTCCCATGTGGTTGGAGTGGTTTGATCCCGGCTGGTTGCCAGTGCTGCCAGAATGGGGCAGACTGCCCAGAGGGAGGAGGAAGCGCTGGTCCTCATCTTCACTGCCTCCCAACAGAGCCAGGCTGAGCGACGGCGGAGGCTCCATGCTTCGCTCACCTGTCTGCACAACAAGAGCCACAGAATCAGCTGGGTGTGGAGATGACACAGAATTAAATTAAACCCAAAACACAAACAACGAGGAGATGGAGAGAGAAAGCAGAATGACTCAAACAGAGACAGCTCATAATTGTGTGTAATGCTACCTTTGAATCACATCTGACTTCGCTGGGCTGAGTGTGCTACAGTGAGCTCACTGCCCTTGCTCTGTCTTTTACATCCCACTCTGCTCCCAGCCATTTATGCCATAAAATGTCATCTGTGTTTCATTGTTGTTAGCTGTGGGCTGGTGAAATCCCTCAGCTTTACAGTATGCAAATTAGATCAGGCAGAGACACTGGCAAAAATAACTCCTTTTACACACACTTCGTGGACTAGGAGCTATTCCATGAGCTTTACAATGAACTTATCACCATATTATTGATCCAAACACATAACCTACTTTCAGTGTGATTTGACAGACAGTCGCTCCTCCCTACATCGTACTTCTTACCTCTTTTCTCCCAGTCCCGGTCCCCAGGTTACTTGTCATCAGTCAACGGCAGATTGAAAAAACAGGACTTTTTCTTTTTCGTGTTGACATCTTCCCGTCTGAGGTTGCCTCCTATCGCGCAGATCCTCCACAGGTTTTCCTCCTCGCGTCGCTCCCAAAGCCTCAACGCAATCGGAGTATTTATCTCCCAAATACAGGGATCAATCGACTGTGCCCATTTCGATCCGCTCACTGACGATCTACATCTCTGCCATTAAAGCGGAATAATCCATGATGAGTGGATTAAATCGGTCAACCTGTGGAGGATTACAAAAAATTTGTGGCAACATAAAGCAGAAATGATGAAGCGGCGAAGATGGAAAGCAGGGTATTGGAGGCAAATAAGTCTATGATTTATGTGTCCACCGACTTCCAGTCAATCTCCAGCTCACTGTCTCTCCAAATCCGTTTCTCACTCTCTCCTCCAACTTCTCTGCCTGTATTTCTCCGCCTCCGCGCTCTCATTGGACGCTCTCAGCACCAGCCAAAGACTCTCTTGAAGCAGGTGGAGACGCAAAAAGAGATGCGCGACTCAACGTATCTACCACTTGAAGCTTGGGTTCGTGTTTTTAAAGGTTATTGTTTACCCGTTGTTTAGCATACACGTGACATATTTGTTAGATATTTTGGCTAAGCAAAGCGTGCGTAAACGTCATATATTTGGTTTTTAATGGCACCTGTTACTTATGTACATAGCATCATAAATCATTACCACTTGCTCAACATGACACTTAATCATAGAGCTAATGAATAAAACGGCTTAATAAAAAGGCTTTGTGAGTTTTAGCGCCAAACCTCCAGCATATGGTGAGGAGGAGGAAGTGCCAAGACAAGCGCGCGCCCGCGGGAACAGGAAATACTTGGGGATATTTTGGAAAGTGCCTGAGTTCCCACCTGGTTTTGGTGATATTCTAAATAGGCTCCCGTTGTCTTATTTAACACTGACATTTTGCTTTTTTTAACCATTGTACATCTTGGTAATTCTTGACTCAATCATATACATAAATACACACACTCATATGCACACACTTAAAGACACACACACGCTCATATGCACACGCAGACACACACACGCTCATATGCACACGCAGACGCACACACACATAGAGAGAGAGAAAGAGAGAAAGCACAGGTTCAGGACGACAAAACAAATACATATTTCATTTTAGGGAAACAAGAAGGGCCGAGGCACAACTGACTTTAACAACTGACTTTTACCAGAGGCCTGGGAGCTTGAGGGTTCTGCGCAGTATCTTTGCTGTTCCTAGCACTGCACATTTCTGGACCGAGATGTCCGAGGTTGTTCCGGGGATCCGCTGTAACCACTCTTCTAGCTTCGGGGTCACTGCCCCGAGTGCACCGATCACCACGGGCACTACTGTAACCTTTATCCTCCAGGCCCTCTCCAGCTCCTCTCTGAGACCTTGGTATTTCTCAAGCTTTTCATGTTCTTTTTTCCGGATGTTACCATCGCTTGGAATTGCCACGTCCACCACCACGGCTGTCCTCTGCCCTTTGTCTACCACCACGATGTCAGGTTGGTTCGCCATTACCATTCGGTCGGTCCGTATCTGGAAGTCCCACAGGATCTTTGCACGCTCATTCTCCTCCACCTTTGGAGGAGTTTCCCAATTAGACCTTGGGGTTTCCAGCCCATACTCTGCACAGATGTTTCTGTACACTATGCCAGCCACTTGGTTATGGCGTTCCATGTAGGCCTTCCCTGTCAGCATCTTGCACCCTGCAGTTATGTGTTGGATCGTCTCAGGTGCCTCTTTGCACAACCGACACCTTGGGTCTTGTCTGGTGTGGTATATCTGGGTCTCTATCGCTCTGGTGCTCAGTGCCTGTTCCTGTGCAGCCATGATGAGTGCCTCTGTGCTGTCCTGTAGGCCAGCCCTTTCTAGCCGTTGGTAGGACTTCTTGAGATCAGCCACTTCTGTTATGCTCCGGTGGTACATGCAGTGTAGGGGCTTGTTCTCCCTTGTTCTCCCTCCAGCACCTCCTCATCTCGCCACTGCCTAAGACATTCACTGAGTACGTCATCCGTTTTGGCCTTCTCCATGATGTAGTTATGGAGTTTGGATGTTTCGTCCTGGACAGTGGCTCTCACACTCACTAGTCCTCGGCCTCCTTCTTTACGGTTTACGTACAGTCTCAGGGTGCTGGATTTGGGATGGAACCCGCCATGCATGGTAAGGAGCTTTCGAGTTTTAACATCCGTGGTCTGAATCTCTTCCTTTGGCCACCTGATTATTCCTGCAGGGTATCTGATCACTGGCAGGGCGTAGCTGTTAATTGCCCGGGCCTTGTTGTTGCCATTGAGCCGGCTTCTTAGGACCTGCCTTACTCGCTGGAGGTATTTGGCAGTTGCCGCTTTCCTCGTCACCTGTTCGAGGTTGCCATTTTCTTATGGTATACCGAGATACTTGTAACTGTCCTCAACGTCTGCTATTGTTCCCTCTGGGAGTGAGATCCCTTCTGTGTGGACTACCTTGCCTCTCCGAGTCACCATCCTGCTACATTTCTCGAGTCCGAATGACATCCCGATGTCATGGCTGTAGATCCTGGTTGTTTGGATCAGAGAGTCGATGTCTCTCTCGCTCTTGGCGTACAGCTTGATGTCATCCATGTAGAGGAGGTGACTGATCTTTGCTCTGTTCCTGAGGCGGTATCCATAGCCAGTCTGGTCAATTACTTGGCTTAGAGGGCTGAGGCCTATGCAGAACAGTAGTGGGGACAGAGCATCTCCTTGGTAGATACCACATTTGATGGTCACTTGTGCGAGCGGCTTGCCATTTGCCTCAAGGGTCGTCTTCCACATTCCCATCGAGTTTGCAACGAATGGTGGAGATGCTGGGAATATATATATTATATATATTATGAGTTTTTCCTTGCCGATGCAGGAGGGTCTTGTTGGACAGTTAGTGTCCAACAAAAAGGATGTGGTGATGATCCAGGACACTTCTACACATTCTACAACATGTATGGACATTTTTTGTGTGTGTGTGCTTTATATTTTTCATGTGTTTTTAACGGTTGATTCTCTGATTTGTGTTGGTGATTTCAATGGTTTTGTTAAGTCCTCTGAGATGACTTCTGTTGTGACTTAGGGCTACACAAGAATAAATTGTATTGTGTAGATATATATATATATATATATATATATAATGTATATGCTACTCTTTTTTTAGGGAGGACCTAATAGGCTGTGCAATCTAAACAATTACAGAAAATACAATAAACTGTTTCATTTCTCACCTCAAATGTTATTAGAAGTAACATTTGTGCTCCACTGTTGTCACTAAAACAGACGCCTAGTCCTCCTCATTGTTGAAATTTGTTTTAGTAATTTGCCCATTCTAACTCATAGGACAAATTCATAAAGTTGTCATGAATACTGGCACACTTGATAAATGGTAAAAGTTGGTTACATGTGTTTTGTGGTAGCCCTGTAACGCTGGTATTTGGAAATAAAATACATTCTTTAAATAGAGGAGAAATTCAGTATGTACAAACTTTTATCATCTGATTTTTTTTTTTTTTTTACACATATTGATATTGATGCATCCCTAGTTTTTGATGCCTTGTCTTTGAAATGATTTGCTAACTCATTACATTTAAATGTGGATGTTAGTTCTAATGGCAGCTGAACAGGGGGTTTGTTTATATTATTCGTTATAACGGAACAAACATATTGTTACTGCAGCTTTCAATAGTTTCAAGGAAAACAAATTTAGTTTCAAGAAATTCTACACACCACTAAGTGAAACACCTACCGATCCATCCGCTTGGACTTGGATTTGCACCATTTCCACTTGGCCTGGAACAGCAGAAAAAAATTGAAGCTAGAAAAGCACTTTTAGAGCGCAGACCAAGAGTCACAGTTCAATTCAATAAATATGATCTGGATCATATAAACCAACTGCTTCCCAGATATTGATTGACCTACGACAGGTATTGGCAAACAACACATGACCCACAGGTCCACAGAGTTGTACTTAGGGGAGAGCCTCAGTGTTGGACCAGAGAAAAACACATCTGACTTAATTCATCTCTTCACGTCTCCACATTTGGACTTCACAGAAAGCTAGGTATTCTGAAACATTCATTCACATTCATCAATGTCATTATTTATCAAAATGTCTTTACTAATAGTTTTTATTTTTTATTTTGATCAAATACAGAATAGAGCAGAGAATATGGCTCTTCACGGGCCTGGCTGTCTCCACCAATATTGATGAAGAGCAGGACTTCATATACATTTTTTTAGAATATAAAATAAAGGGAGTCATATCAGAAATGATCACATCTGGCAGTGGTGGTGTAGACTCAATAGTTTTATGTAACTTATCTCAAAAGATTGTTTTCTTTCACATTTGGCAAATTATTACATCCAAATGGACCGCATTATGTCTAAATCCTCCCATGACCTTTTTAATTATGGAACTGACAAATGTGGCTCATTACATAACGATTACATTACATATCCTGCCTGATGTAAAAATGTAAAGTTATAACATTGAGGACAATTTGGATCAATTGATTCACTGCAGTGTTTTTTATGACTTGAACTTTATTAAGATTTTTCAAAAACAAACAATCCGTAATAATACAATTCCACTTTATATCAAGACCATAGAAATGTTCAGAACCATGACATGACGTGGAAAATAGACATTGTTTATACATATTTATTCCCCTTATAACAATATAAATGAAAAAACACACACACAAAAAAAATATATATGTTAAAACAAAAAAAAACTAAATGAAATAATGGCTAAAACTAAAAAGTGAAGCTCACTCAACGATTGTTTTGCAATACACATTATATACACACACAAAAATTGAATATTACCACGTTGTAATGAACATTTTATTTTTCCTGGGCCGGAGACGCCACAAAGCTAATATACTCTAAATATGTGGACCATTTTCTCTCATACTCTTCAACTCTGTCCAATAGCCTGTAAGATAGTCTCTCTATAGATGCAAGACGGCCAAGTGCTGCGTGCCATTGGCTGGCAGACGGGACTCTAAGAGTCTTCCACTCAGCCACCAGCAGCTTCCTGCCCATCATGATGGTAGTTTGAGTCCACTGTGAAATCAGTGAAGGCAAACCTTTCATGGTTGTGGGATCCCCCAGAATATAAAGCTTGTCTGAGAAGGGAATGTCACGACCTGCCACACTCTCAATAACTGCATGGACTAATGACCAAAACTCCTCTACCTTTGGACACTCCCAAAGTATATGTACGAGCGTTCCGTTTGCGTCTAGACATTTCCAGCAGGCATGATCATCAGACAGTCCAACCTTATGTAACCTGTAGGGGGTCCAATACAATCTGTGTAAAATCTTAAACTGAACTAATCGCGTGCGTAACTCTCTTGAGACCCTCCCAATATTTCTGTGGATCCCACTCCACTCTTCTGTCGTAAATGTGCAATTCAAGTCCCTCTCCCAAGACGTTTTAAGGGGCATTAAGCTGGGATCAGAAGTTGCCAGTAACATTTTATAATATACTGATGCTTCATGGCCCTTACCAAAGATCTTTTTAATATCATCTAGTGCGCTACAATTTGAGGGGCCTGATGAGGAACCGAAAGTCCTTTTTAGCAGGTGACGCATTTGGAGATATCTCCAAAACTCTTGTCCAGGCAGCCCAAACTCAGTAATTAGTTTTTCAAATGACTTTAATTTGTTGTTGTCGTATAAATCACCCAACACTGATATTCCCTTTAACTGCCAAGACCTCCAAAAGAATGGTGTTTTACCTACACAGAGTTTCGGATTATTCCAAATGCTCGATGAGCGATGTATGGATTGAATTTACAAAACTTGGACATTTTTTTCCACAGCTTTTGAAGATGAAATAGAATAGGATTCGTGTTCCTAACAGCAAGATTAGCCAATAAGCAGGAAACTGGTGTGAGAGGGGAGCTTACTGTATTTTCCAGTGGAAACCATGGGGGGGTTCTCTAAGGAGGCAATAACCAGTGTGCCAAATGCCTGAGAGAAAAGGCATAATGATAATACAACAGATTGGACAATCCCAGTCCTCCTTTGTCCACTGGCTTCTGCAACTTCCTTAAATTTTATCTGTATTTTTGTTTGTTCCATATGAATAGTTTACACTGCAGAGTGTTAATGCAAAACAAATATCTCTAGCTGGGGACAGAAGTGGCCCTAGGACTAGGAGAGGCACGCCCTAGGTGTGGCACTCCTTAGGTCAAGGCTATGATCTGAAACTCAGTTTTTAATAACAACAAAGTACTTCCTCTCTTTTAGTACATTGATTTCATGTTTAATTTTATGGAGCATTTCAAAGGGACCTATTCTTATTTTGTTGGTATATTGTGGTCTTTTTTGTGTTAAATAAAACTCATTTTGACAGATAGTTTCACCCTTAGCGGTTTCTATGAATAATTAATAATGAATAATTAGACCGGAAGTGACGTACACGTAGGGGTCTTTGGGTTTTGTTGATATGCATTTGTAAGCCATAACGTTGTATACGGACATAATAAACAGATAATTGTTATTTAGTTATGGACAATACAGGGCTCTTTTTGAGCCCTTGCGTACTTGTTATGACAGTAATTCTGATTTTGAGGACTCGGACGTCAGTTCAGATGAGGAGCAATCTCCAAGAAATTAACATTTGCGGACATTAGGGCCGTTTCCACGGGCTGGACTGGATCTGTAGTTCGACTCGTCTCGACCCGGTTTGCGGATGCAGTCTACACCTTCAGTTTGAACTCGATGGTGCCACCCGAATGAGTGTAAATAAGTGTTAGCGAAGATAGCGCTAGGGACAAAGGAATGGATATTCCATTGGGACATTGCAGTGCAGAGAAAAGTTAAGAATCGTAAAAGTGACTACCGTGAAATGAAAGATAACAGCAGTAAAAGTGGACAGAACCGAAAAGTCTGGAGGTGGTTTGACAACATGGATTATTTTTACGGACATCAGCTAACACACTAACACCAGCTAACACGTCAATATCTGCAACAACGAGAGAGAAGCCTCAACTCTATGTCCCAGCTCCAGATGTTGAGTTCTGTCTTCAATCAAATGCAAACATATATGGTCTTATACAGTACTAAACGTGTATCTGTGGTTCTAAAGTCTAAAACATGATGGTATGATCTATATCTTTTACTAAACGTAGTTAGAGTGAAACATAGATTCATGGTTTAATGACAGTCGTTGTGTTTTCTGCTGAATACTGGGTCGAAACTTGTAAAACTGGTTTTAGTTGGAGCTTGATAGAACTGGCGCTGGTGTCTTCTCTCAGTTTGTTTGGACCGCCGCCTTCACTGAATAAGTCAAAGATCGTGGGGACTGCTGTTTACACTCTTTTGGTAACTTTCACTGCTGCATCCCGGGGGCATGCAAAAAACACCCATTTTTCTCTACTGTCTTATTTGTGTCGCAGCAGAAGCACAGTCGTAAACAGTAATGGTGCTTTCAGACCGGATCATGCGTTGCGTCGGGTTTCAATGCAAAGTCTATGGTGGCGCGTGTTCGACCGTCACAACGCACGGACCTCTCGGCACGCACGAACGGACTGTTCAATAATGACGCACGGACTTGGCGGGAAAGTGAAAAGGGAGGAGCAGGAGCGAACAATCAACGCCCACAGGAGATGGATTCTGCTCAGCTCCTTTCCTTGCGACGTTCGTGCGACAACCAATCAGAGAGCAGCAAAGTGGTCACGGGGACATTAGCGGACTGAGCGAGCAGACTGAAAATACTCGTAAACAGCCAAATCAGGACCCACACCAGGCTTCACCAGAACTCAAACCAGGGTTGACAATGGGGGACTCTGTGCTTGTGAAAATATGCGTTGTCATGCTCCCGTGACCTTATGCAACTGCTTCAATTTTCTGACCAATCAGAGGCGTTCATATTGAAAACGCTATTGAGAGCGGGCTTCAGCCGTTTCCAGCGTATGGCCCGTATGAAAGGCCCCATAATTCGAATGGTGAAAGTCCATACTCATATTTGCTCTGTGATAAAGAAAAAAAAGTAACACTGGGGTTCATACAATGCATGAAGATTATTGTGTTTTTCTTGTTAAGTTTCCTGTAAATTACTATTGGATCAAATAAAATTTACAGACACAGGGCACGGAGGCGATTGGTAGCCCTGGTGCTCTCACACAAGAAGGTTGATTCCACCTCCACCTTTGTGGTGTTTGCCCGTTCTCCCTGTTTACTTCATAGGGATTTCTTTCGGTGCCATCCCAAAATTTTTTTTCCCTTTCTCCTCAAAAAATGTACAATAGGTGAGGGTTAATGAGTGTTGTTTTTTGTGAGCGCAGCTGTGGGACAGATGGAAATTAGCTACATAGTTTCTATTTAAAACACAATGTCTCATCAATTAAAAACAAATACAATGGGGCACCTATGCCGCTTGCGGTTTAACCGTTGTGTGGGCTCGCTCGCGATGACTGCTGTGGACCTGGCACCCTAGCGGTCTCCTCACAACATGGCGGATGAGCGCAGAGCTGTTCTCACGTGGTTTTTGATCCAGGAGCGGGAACACGGGAGACACGCACTTGATACGAGACACAGAACACGGGACACGAGACACGGGCCGCCGTCACGAGCGGACCGCCCCACCGCTATCCTCAGGCCATAACCCCCCACCTCACTGATGGTGTGGAGCCGGGAACACCGGCCTCTCCTGGACACGACACACGACACGACCCACGGACTCGACCCGGGGCAGCCACGACGAGGCGGAGAGGGTGAGACACACGCACGCTCACCGGGATATACGTGCACTAGGCTTGAGTTCAGGTCCCGTCTCCGTTTCTGAGGTCACGGTCTGAATGCTGATGAGTAAAAGTATACGGAAAAAGTGCTGCTCAGAGTACTGATGTTAACTAATCCCTGTCAACTCCATTAAAGCTAATGTGCTAACTTTCTGGAGGCTTACGTCCCACTGTTGCTAAATGTCTCCATGGTACCGGTTAAAACAGTGCAATGAACTGTGCGCACTCCGGTCCGGGCAAAGGCTAACCTATATTAAACACAGTCAAAACAGCGCTTTGACAGTGACACGGCTGAGTGAACAAACGACTAGTCATAACCCTCCTTCGACCCAATCGCTTGTTTGCCGAGGCCTGTCATTGTAACACTCTGGTCACTCTCACTGGTCTCTCTCGCTGGTCTTTCTCTTGTCTTTTTTCACTGGTCACTTTTATTCCTCTCTCTGTCTTTCTGTCTCTCCTCTGGTAAGGGTACTTTTCTTTGTGACTTTTCATTTGCACACCCCTGTCCTCTCATGGAATAGAACTGACACCAGATCCAAACAACACACTTCTGCAGCAATGTAAACCCTGAACCTGCTTTTGGGAACCAGTGGAATCCCCTCCAAAGAGGGGTCCATTGGACCTGACCAAAACTGAGTCTGGTTTTGTTTTGTGCTGCTTTGAGTGGACCCCTGAATACCAGCAGAAGAGATTAAAACTGGTATAACTTTAAATCTGGGGTACATAACATAGATCACACCAATCTAATAAACCCATGTCTAGTTTGTGGCTCTAAAACAATTGCTTCTATCACTAGTTTTCACTATATTGAGTTTTTGGCCTCTGTCACATACTTAGGTCAGCTTTTTGAAGAAAGAAAAAAAGACCAACCTCACTCAGCCAAAAAGCTCTCAACCTAAAGTAAAAAATAAGACTCATGGGCAGTTAGGTTGTGACTGTTTTTTAACAAACATTTTACTTAAAGACCTGCATGTAATTTATGAGACTATAGTTACCTATCCCGCCTTCAAACTGTTTATCTTAATGAGACTCCAAGTACGTTTCCCTGCTTTATACATGCTATTATGAGACTTAAGTTACGTACCTCACTTTATAGTATTAAATAGCAGACCTGGAAAAAGTGAGGCCCGGGCCAAAAACTGCCCTATACACGTTGTATGTGGCCTTCAGACCTTTAGGCCATCCACAAACTTTATACTGTCTCTTCCAAGAGGGTAGTTATTGATCCAGAATAACTACCCACATGTATGCATGATTGCCGAAGGTCTTGACGAGGGAGCAGACCATAGACGAGGAGAGACCATGACGGGGGAGAGACCATGACGAGGGAGAATCATGACGGGAGAGATCATGACGGGGAGAGATCATGACGGGGGGATGGTCCTGACAGGGGAGGTCCTGCCGAATGGGGAGTCCTGACAGGGGAGTCCTGACAGGGGAGGTCCTGAGTTTAAAATGTTGTCTCTGTTGCAGGATCAGTGAGAGCGAAAGACTGAGTGAGACCATCCGCTCAGGTAGACCACACACAAAGACACACACAGACTTACACAATTCAATAAATTTAAGACACAACAGTAGTTATCTCAGAGGACATCACAAAGTTTCGATTTGCCATATATATCAGAGATTTAACTGTTCCTCGTCGATAAGGGGCAAATACCAATTGTCCTTAAAGTCCCATAAAAGGTACTGGATCAATACCAGTTGTCTTTAGACACTCTGCAGCAGTAAGGAACAAACTAACAAAAAAAAAGAGACAAATAGTGAGAAATCTCAGGAGGCCGCTCCTATAAATCCATCGGGCCTACACCTGATCTTGGCTACAGATCCCAAGGCTCAGGTCGAGAGCTAGGACACAGGTTGTGGTGCAGGGACTGAAGCGCCCCAAAGGACAAAAAATGGGAGGGGTACAGCCACAAGCATGGCTAGGGAGGACAGTTCACAGTGCAGATGAAAGAGGGGCCCAACATCACCCATGAAACAGACAATGGCAGCAGGGAATGGCAATACACAGACTGCAGTGACGCAACTATGCAGATAAAGTAGGAAGAGAAGAGGATGATACACATGTACTAGTCTTCTCCCAAACAAAAGGTCTCCATATGCAGGTTGACTGACAATCTATTTTAAAAACATGCAGGGTCATGTTAATATTGTTAATGGGTACCTGGGCGGCTGGAAAGTGCTAAATGTTCGTTGTGTCCTTAGCAGACACTTACCACTTTGCCTAGAAGAGTCCTGGTGTGACTGTAAATGGTTAGTGGTATCCGGAGGCCGTACGCCACAAATACTGGTTTGCGCACTTCTGTCTGTGCCCCAGGCACTGTGGCTACAGTAGTAGTTAATCACCCTCGTGTAATGGTGTGAATGAAAATGACACATGTAAAGGTCTTTGATGTCCCAAAAGGTCATATAAAAGCCAATGCACTATTATAATATTTCTTCATCTTACCTAAGTCATACCAACCTAAATCGTTCGGCTGAATCAAAAAGGAATAATTTTAGGCTATCCTTAAAAGTAGAGACTGTTTTGCTTCCTTGATGTAGGATGGTGAATGATTCCACGTGTAGAAGGGTGAGCTAAATGCTCCACCAAACCACCAGAGGTGTGTTGGGGTTTAAAAAAGAAAGACAACACACACACCAGAGACAACACAACATAACACACCTACAGAAACATACATACACCAGTTTTCGTTTTAGAGTGGTCTCTGCCAGAGATTTACTCACAATCCAACAAGCATCTATTTTGTGCCTCAGATGGGGTGCCCTCCCCCTCATCCCCTGCTGCTCATGGGCTACGGCTCAGGACCAGACCCAGGTGAGACCAGAGCTGTAGACCAGACCCACACCGAGACGAGACCAGAGCTATAGACCGAGGACCTACACTCAACAAACCAAGCTGTAGAACCAGACCCACGACCACAGACTAGACCAGAGCTGTAGACAAGACCCACACCCAGAACTAGACCAAGCTGTAGACCAGGATCCAGACCCTGATAGACAGGAGCTATAGACTAGACCCAGACCCAAGGTGAGACCAAGCAGTAGACAGACCCAGACCCAGGTGAACATAATCAGGAATCTAATACCTTTTAAAGATATATAAATGGTTGTTCGGGTTGACCTGGTTTGTGATGACATTGCTCTGTCCTCACAGGCCTTCCGCTCACCCCCCCCCCGGACCCCCCCCCCTCTCTCACTGTCGCCCCTCTGGCCCCTCCCTCATCTACACCCGCCCACATCACTCCGCTCTGGTCCACCGCCCCCCATCACCACAGCTCCACCCACATAAGTCCCCTCTCCCCATGACCCCCCACCCCACTTGTCCTATGCACCTCCCCTACCGAAGCCCTGCCCCCCAGAGGAACCATGCCAACCAGTCGTACCTGCTTCAACACCAGACCCTCCCCCCATGACCCCACTGGACTGCCCACTCACGAGCCCTCAGGCCCTACTGCCCCTGACGACTCATCACCCCTAGACGAAAACTGACTACACCGAGCCCCACATCCTGAGACCACCCTGCCGCCAACACCCAATGAGACCACGCCACTGACGACCCGGGTTGACGAGTAGATTGGAGACTGAGACAACCACCAGCCGGACCCCCCTCCCGCTACCACCCCTCAAGGTCAGTCCACCGCCGAGGTCAGTCTACCCCAATGTTAGAGGTCAGCCACTCTCAGGTCAAAAAGCGTTTTTAGGTGCATGTTACATTCTACAAATAACACACAGTAACGTGACATGCTTGAAGTATAAAACCCTCACCAAGAGGACCCGAGAAGACAGGAAGCGACCAGCAAGGGAACGTAGAGATTGGAGAGGGATACTAAAGTTTTCTTTTGACTTTTGAAATGGTAACTTATACTAGTAGAAGCACCCTGCAATGTTTCCGCTAATTTTTCATGAGTTTGAGCAAAAACACAACTCCCTGCAGGCCCCTTGACCTTTTTTTACTTCAGCTACACAAACAATATGATTTTTGATCAATATTCACCTGATTATGATGCTCTTGATTAATTTTGTAAAATGCTTTTGTATATTGTGAGTACATATGGTGAAAATTAGGAATATATTTTGGTGGAGTTGCACTAAAAAACATATTCAAAGGATTAAGAGGGATAATGAACAGCCCTCTCCACTTTTCCACGCCAGAGGGCGTGATAGTGAACCGGTTAAGCTGCGTTAACGCTGCCCCATAGTCTCGTCAATGGAGCATTGACGCGCATTATAAACACAGCCACATGGTTTAGTCAATCTGGCATACTCGTGCCCTGTGAGGCCAAAATGCTGCGGAAGAGGTGGGCAAGATTTGATGCAACTGGTTTAACTAACAGCTTTTTGAATTAAGTTGAGCAATTTTCACACATCAGTTTTTCCTGCACTTTTTTTACTTTTTCATTCTGTATTTTAAACCTTGTTTTATTTGTGTACTTGTCTTGTGCACACCTGAAGACTTTTATCAAATGCAAATAAGATGAATCTGAATCTGAATCTTCTCCTCAACCAGCGCGGCTCCGTGCGTACTCGTGGTACCCCCCAGAACTTCACATACAATAGTATCCTGCTTAAGAGCTGCGCCATGGGTGTATTATATTATTAAGCAGTACTCATATCGCCAACACATAAGCAGCACATTTATACAGTCACAAGGAGAAATGAGAACCAGGCTGGAGCATATACTCACATATGTGTCCCACATTGTCAGCCCTGGTCTAACTTTGTTTAGCCATGATTAATCCTGGTTTATGCTCTTGTATGTGGTGTCTTCATCTGCTTGCTCTTAGCTTCTGCTCTTTGCTATTGTCCTCCGTGGGCCCTTTGCTTCTCCGGCAAATAAGCCGGCAAAAAAGTTAAAAAATCTCCCTTTCGTTCTCCGATGCAACAAGTCGCTGTTCACTACCACTCTGATGCACTGCAACAACCATCTAACGCACCGGACAAACCTAGTGCCGCAACATGATGTACATCATTGACCTTGCATTGTAACTCTGAACCAGTCACGTCGACTCAGATTTACGAGGTTTTTTTTTTTGTTTGCCTAAGGGGTTGGATGAAGTGAACTCCAACACTCCATATACTTCCTTTACTCGCGGTGACATGTTCTTTAAACCCCAGACCTAAAAACAACGAAGCTTGAGTTATTTTTTGTTCCAAACTGCAAAATAATTAACGTAAAGCAAGCACCCTGGAGACTGCACGGGTCAAAGTGAGTGTTATGAGGAAGACGGCTACTTTGCATAATGAACAGGCGTAACGGTCGTTGATCCCCTGGACTGTCATCTCAAGTCTCTCTCACAGTGGTCCTCTCACTCGGTTCCTCTCACAGTGTCTCTCACAGTGGTACTCTCACAGTGGTCTCATCCACAGTGGTCTCTCACAGGGTCTCTCACAGTGGTCCCTCACAGTGGGTCCCCTGCCACAAACCACAACCGAGCATCATCATCATCATCAGCGTCTCCCCCTCTCCCTGCGGGTCGCAGGGGGCAGCATCGGCTGCAGCAGCTAACAGGAACTCTCGAAGAAGACTTCTCCTGCCTGTGAGGAGGCAAAGAAAAGACCGCAGACTTTTTCACAAACTGAGTGTTGTCCCATCCACGAAACAGAAGGTGGCGGTAATGCGAAGAATAGGCCGCCAACCGCCGGAAAACCAAACAAGAAGAAGAAGGACACGACACATTTGGGTGCGTCAGATATGAAAGAAGAAGAAAGACATTATGAGGAAAAGTTATCGGAAGAAGAAAAGTGATTGTTGAAAGAAGAAGAAAGACATTGTGAGAAAGAGTTATCGGAAGAAGAAAGAAAGTGATTGTTGAAAGAAGAAGAAAAAAGACATGGAGACAAAGACATTGGACACTATGAGACAAAAGACATTGAAAGACGCCATGAGTAAAAGAAAGACATTAACGGACATTTGAGACGTGGCTGGCCTAAATGAGACACACAGAAGGTAAATATACAGACAGACAACAAACGCACAGAGACATATTAAGTCATATTTACACATTTAGGTCATTCGTTCATAACACCACATTTAGCTGCATGAAAGAATACAGGACAATCGTTAAAATTAATTAGACTCTTGCTTTAGCATGAGACACAAGGAGATTAGAACAGCAGTATATTTAAAGTAGAGGAGCTCTATTATTGAAACTAGTATTATTTAAAGTTATAGACGCGGAGAAGTTTAGAATTATTGATTTTAACTGCATGATCTTGGTAATACGGATATTTAAAGCAGTGTTTTCAACCTCTGAACCGTGGCTCGTTTCTCATTTAAGAACAATCACATGCACAGTTGAAACTGGTGCTAGAAAGAGAACTGCAGCTTTTAATGGACGTTGCATTTAGTACAAAATGGTTTGTTCAGACAATTAAAGTTTGAAAAATGATTTAAAGCATTTCTGAATTTTGGCTAAAGGTGATATTGGATCATTTCTGATAACACATAGACGCAACACTGTTCATTGGTTGAAAACAAAGATGTAGGGACATTTTATGAAATCTTTTATGACATGTTTCTCTTCCAAATAGCTAAATTAGAAACAATTAGGACAATTATGTCTTTGATATAACTGTTGGCAGTTTATCTGAGGAAATGATTGGCGCAAGTACACACACATAAAAACCATGGTCTTTTCTCAACATGAACGTGAAACAAAGGTGAAGTATTAAAGTTAGAAACTAATTTACATTTTTTAAGGAATCCGAAATGGCTTTAAAAAAAAAAGGGACACCCACCATTTATTGCACGTGCATGAGTTTTTTTTTAAGTAACAAGAGCTCATTAAAAATCATAGGGGACACAGTTTGTGACAAGCCCGAGTACAAGGCCACGTGGTTTAAACAACTACAAGTTTGAAAATGGCTCCTTTTAGGAAAAATCTCTCAAAGTTTGCATGTTCTGCATGGCTCTGAAAGTTGCAACTCTAAAATAGCTCATGAGCCAATTGTAATTGGACATGGAAAAATATAACAAAGTTAAACTTCCAGGCCTCTTGTGTTGTCTATAGTTTTGTATGTTATTGTTTGTGTATGTTATATGTTTGTAGCGTCATGTCCAATAACACTACGTTGACCTTAACAAAAATGGACAATAATCTAACGGTCGGCTGTGTGAGTGGGCTGTGAGTGTGATGTGAAATGAGGAGTGGGACGAGAGTGCTGAACGGAGAATGGAATAACAAAAGTTTTCTGTACAAATTATTTTTTGTCAAACAGCATACGGTGTAAGTACTAGAGATTCAAAAAAAGATGACAAGTTTATTGAACAGGTGTAAAAGTGAGAGTACTCTGGGATGAGTACTCTGAGAAAAGTACTTGAGAAAGTACTCTGAGATGAATACCTTGCTGAAGGTACTGGGAGCCCCTCCCTCTGCTGTTTGTCCGGACAGGGATTCGGTCCAACCGCAGTGACGCGGTCATTGGGCGGAGGACAACTTTGGTTTGTAATTCACATTTAGGGGAGTATAAAATTAGAAACATATATTGTTAAGTCTGTATTTGGCTACAGCCTCTGCCCTGATGCCACACACCGTCTGTCAATGCAGTTATGTTTTGCCCAATTAGATTGATTGACAGGCTGCACCATGCGAAGAGAGGGAAGTGGGCGTTTCTTGTGTTCTAATGTTTCTTTTTCAGATGAAAGATAAACTGCACCTGCTTCAGGGATAACACAGTAGTAATGGATCATAAGGAAATGAGCCTCTACTTTGGCACCAAAGCCCACAATATGAATTGAGGACGATCCGGGAGGAACAACAGGATTGGAACAGTAATCTACACACACACAGATGCATGTTTTATACTTTGGACCACGACCAACAGAGGGGAGTATTGTATTGTCATAGGTGGTCATGGTCCTTAAACCTTCTAAATCATTAGAAAGAAGTGTAAAACATATATTTACAAGAACAAATAAATAATAGAAAGGGCAGCCTAAAAAAGCAAAATGGGAAAATTATTAAGTAATTTTCGGAGTTGCCAAAATGAAATAAAATTCTATATTTGTCCCATAGGGGGTCATTCTAAATTTAGTGTTGTGCAAATTTAAAAGGAGAAATAATAGCGCTTATAACATCAAACAGATCTACTCTTTAAGATAATAGATCATACAATAATAGAATAGAATGAAATAGTCTGGAGCTATAATGTCATTGGATTCGAGGAGCTATAGGTTGAAAGGTCGCTAGGAAGAGGTGTCAGAATAAACAATAGTAATAATAGTTAGACTAGTGAATAATCAAAATAGTTCTATTGTGGAGGAAATAAGTATCAATAAGGTCAAATTGTTCTAATAAAACTAAAGTAAAAAGGAATCAAATGGAGTCAGATTTTAGATGTTTTCTGTTTTCCACATCTGTAGGAACTGGTGCAGAGGTGTTTATAGAGAGTAGTAATTAAAATGCAGACATAG